TAGAGAGGTTGAGGCACAAGTTCAAACGTTAAACGTGTACGGGTAGCAGAAGTACACGTTACACGTTTCAAGTCCAAGTAAAAATCGTTGAGGAACACGCTCATAACATCACGTGACTCAGTGAACATCGCGCATTGACTCACGGGAAATAAGTTGAAAAAATGGCGGAAGCAAAATAAATCATAATTTTAACCCCAAACACAAAAAAAAATGAAGACGTTTAAGCCGATCGTGTACTCACCAAGCTACACGTAGCAAACGCCATTATCGACGGTCCAGAACTGCCAGATGGCGGCGCCCACCCGTTACCCGTACACGTTTTGGGCTAAATACGTGCGCCTCAACCTCTCTATTGACTTTTTACGTCCTTGTGTCCAAAGGCAAAAAAATTCAAAATGAAAATTATTTAATAAGAAACTCCAATAAAATTCTTTCTCTTGAGTATATAGTAATGAATGATAAATACTAATAAGCACGAATGATATCTAATTCGGGTTAACCAGTAGCCGAATGGATAAAATCACTGAACACAGGTTGGTCACGGGTTTGCGTCTGACCAACAGCTCGCCACTTGGAGTTTTCCGGATTTTCTGCACGTGTCTATCACCTAAATAGGGACCAGTATCCCATAGAAAGTCCTCCAGGGAGGCATCCCGTTGACAAATTATTCTTATGTTGGCTTATTATTAAATGCCTTATCCCATCATACAAACAATTGCTATACAGCTACATAGTATTTCTTACCTAATAAATAATTCTTACCTAACCAAAACTCCTTTTCGAGATTTCCAAATCCAACTTTATAATCGTTCCAGGTTTTATAAAAATAATTTTTTGGATTACCAAATTTTCCTCGTCTCTGAATAACCTTACGTATAACACAAAATATTGTTTTATAAATAATTTTTTTAATATATTTTGAAATAATTGAAAAAAATAATTACAGTCCATCCTCCTCCTTCAGTAGACATATCACAATAAACTCTGAAACTCCCTACAACTTGCCAGTTAGCAGGCCAAATTCTATAAATTCCAGATTTAGTATGACCATTCTTAAAAATTTCTGCACAATCTGTAGGACCGGGTTTAAAATATTTTTCTTGCTGAACAGTGTTAATTGCTAGAAATTAAAATTAACTACTTTAAATGAAAATAAAATGAAAATTTTTAATTTAATTTTTAAATTTGTCTTACCGTTCTTTATATAATCTTCTGTAAAATTTAAAACTTGTGACAATATCTGATAATTACAAGTGGATTCGATCAACGTATATCGAGAATTAAGTAATATGAAGTATAATACAGACGAAAGCATTCTGAATGAAAAAAAATTAATTTTTTTAAGAATAAAAAATGCGAATATATAATAATTATTATACAGTCGAACCGCCGAAAATGGCCATCTCTAAATGGCGGCTATTTTTTCAGAAACACTGAACAAAAATGTATACAAAATAACCTACAAACATCGACAATTTTTTCTTTTTGTCAGTGGTCGTTGTTCAGAGATTTGACTGTATAATTATTTTTATAACAATATGATGTAAAAATCTTACCTCAGCAGCTTTCCAATGGAAAGGACTAAAAGAGTTATTAGTTGAAACTATCGTACAAAAGTATACCACTTGAGTTAGGAAACACCACTTGAGTTACGAAATACCACTTGAGTTACTTGTTCTTTCGAAGACCGTCAAGTATATCTGATCGTTGGTTACGATCGAAAACACTTATTTATCCATGTAATTATTTATTTCTTTTTAAATAATATAATTTATATTTATAAAAAGTTATATTAATATTTATTTTCTTTTATGAAAAGTTGCAAAATAAAACATTAACAGTTAATTTTTATAAAAGAATTTAGGCAAACGACAAATAAGGAAATCGATTCAGACAGGAAAAGGGAAAACAGTTTATAATAATTTTAGCCAATTTAGAAAATCTGAATAGGTTGATGTTACTCGATAGAAAGTAATTTTTATTACAATAAAGTATATATTCTGAAATGACTACAAATTGATGAGAATTTAATTTAAAATAAGGAAATGTAATTTCGTGCTGATAATATTGATTGTTTGTTTGTTTGTTGGCAACGCGACACGTGGACGATCTGTCGAAGAGGGATCTGCCTAAGGGACTGTTCCCTAATTAGGTGTTACAGAAATGAAGAAACCCGGTAGAGACATGAACCCAGTTTTCAGTGATTTTATCTACTCTGCCGATGATGGGCTAAAAATCCCAGGAATTTTTGTGGGCAATATGTATCAGATACGGAAGTTTGGGAATGTGGCTCATAGACTTCTTTCCGCCCAGGGAGCAGCAATAGGTCTGTACCAGATATGTTGGGTCTCGTCACTCGTCGTCCGGCGCCCCATTGTTTGCCGAGTCGACTCCAATATGGGCTTGGAAAACTGCTCTCTTATGTACATCATGGACTCGGCCGGGCTTTCGATGCAGTCGGATGATAAAGGATATGGCCCAAATATTACTATTTCTAAAAATTCCTGCGATATTTCAATGTAGTCCTGACTCGATTCCTGGTTCCCCAGAGCTGTGGGTTGACGCCTTAACCGCTCGGCCATTCAGTCAGCATGTTATATTATACAAGTAATATCTCACTCATTTGATATCTTATTGAAAGATTGTCACAAAAATAAATAAACTTTTATTTATCTTTTCTGTATTATTTGTAAAGCTACGAATGATAATCTGTTTCAAATAGGGTTGCTAGATTTTTCGCTAATTCGCATCACATTTGGCAACCCTTTTTTTAGTTTGGCGTAAAAAAATCATTTGGCGCATTGGCTACTTTTTTGGGCTACAGAAATCCTAAACTATAAGTTAAAAACTCATTCTGTTTAAGTAATAGTAAATATAAAAGCCCTAAGATGTATCTTTTTAGCGCGAGGCCCTAAACTCTGTTGAGCTCACGTGCAAATCCAACCCTATATTGTGGACACCAAAGCGATTATGAATACAGCGAGACAAAACGAGTGTTCTCGACATATCAGTAAATTACAGTTTATGTATGTATTTTGAGTCTTCTGTTCCTTATTTTCGGATCAATTTACAGGTCTGCTTCAGGCCTGTAAATTTGCCGAAAACGTTTGCTCTATGATTAAAGTTATTGTTGGAAAATTATGAAAGGCGTGCTTTTTTCTATTTTATCGTCAAGTCTCAGGTTATTTATCAAAAAGAATCTGTTTTTGAGTTTGCCACTTTTGGGCTACTTTTAGAAAATTTTGACAACAAATGCTAACTCTTCCAAGTATCTGGCAACACTTTATAGATTTCAACATGGTAGGGGAATTGTAAACACGTTTTTATAGTAGCAATACTGATTTCGTTTAAAACATCAATATGGGAAAAGCGAAAAAATTAAAAGTTTCAGTTAATAAAACCAAAGTACCTTTAGATTATCAGATCGGTCTAGAAAAAATTCCTAAACCATCTACTAGAATTAAATTGCGCGAGAGAAAAGACGAGGATGACGAACAAGTAAGGAATTATTATGGTTTAAAATAATTATTAATTATTATTTTAAAAAATTGAGGTTGAAGTTTACTTTGGTAGTCCCAATGGGCTTCAGTTAGGTTAGGTTAACTAAATTTTTAGTAGACGTTTCCTTTTTTTATTTTTAGGTATTCCTTTCTTCTGTCTGCTAAAAATGTAGTTAACCTAACCGAAGCGCGGCCATTGGGACTACCAAGGTAAACTTCAACCGAAATAGATTCTGTTCTGATCTGTAGTTACTGAGATATAGACCGAATTAATGGTTATGCTTATTTTTTGGACATGAATATGTAACAAGCTTTAGAAAATATGACAACCCACGTTTTTCAATTACACCTGTGAATGAGATGGACCTTAAAAGAGCTGTAGACCATACCCATAGGAACAAAGGAACCATACCTCTACATGAGACCCGTTGTAAGATATAGACCCCCTGAAATCAGACTATACCCAGTCTATTTTCAGGACATATGCGATTGGGAGTTGCATTGCTCTGCTAAAACTATCACATTTAACTATTTAGCCCTTGCCACTATGCCAGCTTTGAGTAGACCACTTGACTGTTTGTGAAGTACTTGATGTTATATAGTTTTAAGGAGTTTGGGGACTTGCCCCATGCAGGTGCTAAGGTGTGAGCGGTAGTGAGTGCCAAAGTGCATGACTACGTGCAGAGAGTTGGTTGAGGCAAGCGGTGGTGATCAACTTGACTGACATGAAGCATGGTGAATAGGCAGTAGTGCTGGTACACAGTAAAAACTGACTTTTGGAGTTGTTTTGTTTTAATTTATTTGTCTTATTTAATGAGAATTAATTGAAATATATTTTTTAAGGGAGTTGAGAAATTGATGTAATTGAAATAAATATAACTTAAGATTAATATGTTATTTGTTTTACAGCTTGTTGACGAAAAACTAACAAAGAAAATTCTTAATCAAGCCAGAAAACAGCAAGAGGATTTGGAAGAAGAATTTGGTATTAGGTAAGAAATCAAACATAAAAAGAATATTAACCTTTCGGCACGCGCCTAGTGCCGATTAGGCACCAATTGATTTTTAATTAATTCGTGTAAAAATTCTAATTGTGTGAAAAATCTGAAAAAATTATTACCTGTCTAATTTTTCTTCAATTTTACGATGCGCAATTCAGTTTTTGCTTAAAGCGTCTCATTATTTTTATTTAATTATTGGTGCCGAATCGGCACTATGGCGCGCGTGNTTTACTTAGAAATAGATAAATTCATTTATTATAAAGGAGACAAACAAAACTTTATTAGAAAAACATAAATATTTGTTTTATTTGGGTCTCTAATTAATAAAAAATGACAAAACACCATTTTAAAGTGCATTTTTATTCGACTAATATATTTATAAATAAGATGCAGCACAAAAAGTAGCCAATACGCCAAATGACATTTTTTACGCCAAACTAAAAAAGGGTAGCCAAAATTGGCGCAAAGTAGCCAAATCATGCAACGCTGGAAGGAATACTAAAGCCGGAGTTGGACCCAAAGGATTTAGACCCAAATGCGAGGAAAAGAGAGAAAGGACAAAAGATAAAGAAGTGAGGAATGTTGGAAAATTAAGAGTCCATATTTGCTTAACAGAAAGTCTATTTAATCTTTCTCACTACTTTTTATCTTTTGGCATTACTCTCCTTTCCCCGAATTTGGGTCTATAATCCTTTGAGTCTCAACTTTAGCTTTATTTAATATTCCTTCCTCATTCACACATTTCCAAGTATTTGAAAATATTTCCTTTTTATTCAAAAATAAAATATGTATAAAGGTTTGTGAAATTTTTTTTGAATTTATGCCGATGAAATAAATAAATGAAAAAAAATTAAAAAAAAATTGTCGGTTTTGTTTACACGTTTATTGGGGCTCATTGGAACTTGCCTTGGGCCGCGGGTTGACACCCCTGCTTTAGACCCTAAAGTTTAGAGGGAATAGTAACGGGCAGAAGGAAGAAAAGAAGGGGGAGAATAAACATGATTAATGACCTAAGAAGGAATAAAGACTATCAAGTCATAAGGAAGGAAAGTCTGGAGGAAGGAATAAAGGCTATCAAGTCATAGACAGGAAAGTCTGGTAGGAAGATGCTGCTCTGTGGATCTGCTGGCAACACTAAAAATAGAATACATTATATATACAGTATATTAAAACAATTAAATGACATACATACCAGCTGATCCATTGTAGTCGGAAATATGTAATTCAAAAAGACTATCTTCGTTTTCTATCCAAAAATGATTATAAAAAGCATATCTATGATCATCTTCCATATCTTTTAATTCAATACGGAGTGAATAATTTCCTTGATTGCTTATAGAAAATATCCGAATGTTTCCTAATTAATTAAGACAAATAATCAAACCAAAAAATATAGTTTCGTTATTTTAAACAGAAAAATAAGCAATCTTATTTGGAGAAAAGAATTTACTAAATACTAAATATAATAAACTATGTTAAGACATTGATTGAGGGCCTTTTTAGCAAGCCCATTATGGGTTTGGTCAGGCCCACAATGGGGCGGCCGGGTTATCCAAGAAGCGAGCATGACTTATCCGAATGGACCTCCCGAAAAATTCCAGTAGTTTTTCGACACATCCGAATTCAATCCCGATCCCCAAACAGATAGTCGTTACTTTAATCATTCGGCTATCCTGTCGTCTTTTTATGTGTCAACCAGGTGGCCGCCATCTTGAAGCTTCCATTTTGAATTCAGTTCAAAATGTTTAAATGGGAGTGGTGTCGTGAGATATATGAAATGAACATAGAATTTCGAGAAAAGTGCAATAGTGCACTTGTTTTCCGTCTAACTTTAATTTTGTGAAAGTTATGAAAAATTGAATCTAATCAATTTTTTCTTTCCTAGGTGTGTTAAAAAAAACATCGTGATGCCTCTAATGTGTGAATAGCTAATCCAGACTATAGTGATATCTGGGAATTAAGAGTTTACATAACGACCAGCTTGTATTTTTGACTGATCCAGCTTCGGAACTTTTGCAGCACTTGTGCAAATTACATCTGAGACACTATCTCTATGAAAATGTCGTTGATAAAAAACCACGTTACACACAATAACACATACAAAGATGCTTGTCCCAAAACAACATATAGTAGAGGAGAAGGTGGTATTATGGAACACTGCGGGTATTATGGAACCACCCCATTTCGAACTGATAATAAAGGCGAACTGTAGCGGAATGTGGCTGAACTGAACTAGGCAGATATCCATAGCAAGGGGAAAACCCGTTTTACTTCAGTTAAACAGTTGTCCGTATTTAATCAGCAGATTTGTTTTTTTCAAAATTCAAAAGTTTTGAATGCTAAGTGAATTTAATTATTTTTAAAATATAAATCGTGTAGTTGTAGGTTCACTGGTGCATGTATTCCGTTCCAGAGACTT